AGCAGGAAAGTTAGCAGGGAGAGGGGCAGATTTTGATTTCTTTGTTTCACAAAGGGAAAAAAACTCCACAGGCTGAACCTCTTAACTCCTAACTCACATCAGACATTCCCAAATTGCATGATTTTTAATGTTGCTAAGAATGTGGGGAAACTGGCTCTTTCTTATAGTGTGGTTGGGTGGTGTAAATGGGTATAAAATTATTGGAGGGCAATTTGGAAATAGCTATTAAAAATCAAATGCTCATACCCTTTGACCCAATAATAATTCACCTTCTGGGAATTCATCATAGAGAAATAAATACTCCTGTGAATGCTCTGAGATGTTTCAGTGTAAAATGATGTTTGCAAGAATATTTGTTACAGGGAAAACTGGAAAGAACACAACATGCATTAACAAGCAATTGGTTGAGTATGGTTCAGCCATACAGTACAACACCAAGGAGTCATTAAAAAGAAGATTAAAAAGATCGCTTTGTACAGACTGACATGGGAAGATGTCTATGACATATTGCTAAGTAGAAAACAGTACACTTTTGATTTGAGAATTTAATCCCATTTTTCTGTAAAGTAATAAATGAAATGGTAATATATGCCTTGAAAAAAATAAATGCTTTTCTCAGCTGTGTGAGATTATGGAAAATTTTCACTTTCTATGCTATATTTTATAAGATTTCAAGTTGTTTATGAGTGTGCATGTATATGTATAAATATATGCTATTACTTTTGTAATCAGAGGAAAGAAGTGTTTCTATGGCTTGATCCTTTGAGAGCCCTCTTAGGAAAGTCACCTTTACTGTAAAACAAAACTTAGGTGACACTGGAACATGATACCACTTAACCTAAAGGAGGACTGTGCTTAGAGATTTTTTCTGGTGTTTAGAGTCTATAAGCTAGTGTAATAATTAGCCCACAATTGAGTGTTCTTTTAAGGAGGAGTGAGGGCAAATAAACTGAAACCCCTGCCAGTTTTTAAACCACTGCTGTAGTTAAGAAAGGACAGCTGATGACCAGAGACTCAAAGTAAGTAGTCTCAGCCCTGATGGTGACGCGCCAGGGGAGGAGGGGTGTCCATAAAAGATGAAATGGAGTTTGCGTTTAATCTTTACTCTTTTATCAAGCTAAAATTTGGTGCAATTTCTCTAGCTCAGATTGGTGCAATTTCACTAGCAGATTTCCATTTTGAGGGGTAGATAGCTTATACAATTAAGGGGACTCAATAAAAAGAATGCAAAATTGCAAATACACAGTTAGACAGTGCCCTGGAAGGGGCCTCTGAGAAGGAGGAGCCCTTATACTAAGCTTCCTTAGCCTCTCAGCAAATCCTCACTGCACTGACTCAAAGTTGTTAAGCCAAGATAACATGGGACAGTAACAGGCACACTTCCTTTTCTTTAAGAATTATCCTGCCAAAGCAGAGTTTCCATCCCACATGTGGTGAATGCTAGAGGCAGCATCCTGAGCCCTGGGAGGCTGTGAACTATGCTCTTTGGGAATACTTGAGTTTCTGTGGATGGAAGTGCTCTGGAGAAGCTCTGTTTGTTGACAGTGGCAGACACTCAGTTCTTGATGCTCATAAAACTATGGCAGTCAGAGTTGGGAAAGATATATTAGGTCATCAATCTAGATTCAGGTCCAGAGCAGGATGGTTCACTGCTATAATCCTTCCAAGACTTTGTCCAGGAAGCTTTGAAATGTCTCCAGGGCCTAACTTTTAGACGGCTAGCCCTCTCCTCCACTTCCAGGGCAAATGTTGAGGTGTTTAAAAAAAAAAAATTTTAGAGTTGGAGCCACACAACTACTTAATTATATCCATTCTCCTAGATTTCTATGAGAGGTTTCCACATAAAGAAAACAATTTACTGTAAAGAAACTCTTGTATCTCTGGCATAAAGTTGCCATCAAGGAACAAATCATTGATTTTTTCTGGTTCTTTATAATTCAGCTTTGGTCATGAGTTTCTTTTCTTAGCTTCAAGCAAAAAAGCAAATTTGCTGGGGTTCTCCTTAGCCAGCTTTATCAAGAATGGGCAATATTTAAAAGCTGCTTTTGTTAATGGAGAGAAAATAGCTTCCTTGCCTTTCCTGAAAACACTTCTTTTGAGTCTGTTCACGTCTGTCTTTGGTAAATCTGATGCGCTCCCAATTTTTATTTTAGACTATTATGGGGCTTTAAAAATGGAGAATCTTAATACCAAACTTTTCTCCTGTTTTCCTTTAACTTTATATTGAATGATTCTAATCTCCCAAAAAGATTTTGGTGGCTACTGTTGTGTAGCAAAGAGAGGATTATTCTAGACTACAAGGAGAATAGACTTAATACTCTTGCTTGATTAATATATGCTATACAGCCTCAGTGAAATCATTTATGTGCATAACGTGTGTGTGCGTGCATGTGTGGGTGTGTTGTTCAGTTGCTTGTTCTTGAAAATATTCAAAACAATTTTTTTGATAAGTAATGCTACTAGTAAATACAAAGTGATAATGAATAATATAAGATCTGAATATTTGCACTTGAGATGGGCTCCCAGTTAATCAACTATCAAGAAATCAGCCATAAATACTATCTGAGTTTAATAAGATTAAAAAGTTGACTGGGAATTTATCCAAAATGTGTCCATCAAAAAACAAAGGTATTTGAAAGTGGAGGAAAGAAATAGGATTACGGGGGACAAAATTAATTTGAAACCTCTTGAGCCTGGAAAAATAATAGAAATGCTGAAGGTAAAAGGATTTTATTTTTATTTTGAAAATAATTCAATACAGTACTCTCTTTAGGAAAAATAATGAAATCACATGAATTTAGAACTGTCCAGAAAGTTATGGACTATATAATGAAAAGTTAATACTGCTAGTGAACTCAATAATATGAGTTATACTGAATTCCTTACTGGCAAATGAAGTGTAATCTCTTAAATGGACGAATATCTGTCCCTAATAGAATGATAGATAGGGTTGGGCTCAATCAGCATTTGTGGAACAAATAAGGTAGATCTTAGATTTTTGATTGATTGATATATATTTTTTGATTGTCTCTATTAGTTATGCCTAATTTAAATAGTAACTGATCAAATGATAGCAATCGTATGTATTTACAATCCTCTCTGTGCAAATGAGCACTTTTAAATGTTCTCTGAAAATTAACATGTCTATATTGGTTAGGAACTTGGTTTAAAAAGAAATTAATTTGCTCATGTAATAAAAAAAATTCCAGTGTTTAGAATAGATCCAGTTTCTCAGACAACATTGGCAGGAATAGCTCACTCTACATCCCAACTTTACCACTCTTTGTGATGTTTTCATTCTTAGGCAAATATAGTGGCAAAGACGGAACCACTCAGCAACCCCCACTAGAAGGAGTGTTTTTTTTTTTTATTCTAGAAGCTGACTTCCCTTTGTCCTAGCTTGGGTCGCATGCCCATCCCTGAATCACACAACAGTGCTGCAGTGTCATGCTGGTGTATCAGTTTCCTGTGGCTACCACAACAACTTACCCAAAACTGGGCGGCTTAATTATTCTAGAAGCTGACTTCCCTTTGTCCTAGCTTGGGTCGCATGCCCTTCCCTGAATCACACAACAGTGCTGCAGTGGCATGCTGGTGTATCAGTTTCCTGTGGCTACCACAACAACTTACCCAAAACTGGGCGGCTTAAACAACAGACACTTATTCTTTCACATTTCTGGAGGACACCAGTCCAAAATCAAGGCATCAGCAGGGCCATGCTACCTCCAGAGGCTCTAGGGGAGATTCTGTTTCTTGTCTCTTCCAGCTTCTGGTGGCTCCAGACATTCCTTGGTTTGTGGCCGCATCACTCCAATCTCTGCCTCTGCAGTCACATTGCCTCCTTGTCTTATCTGTGTGTCTCCTCTGTGTGTCTGTGTTAAATTGCCCTCTGCCTCTATTCTATAAGGGCATGCATGCTTATATTTAGGGTCCATTGGGATGATCCAGAATGACCCATCATAAAAGACTTAAATTAATTATAGCTGCAAAGACCTTTTTCCAGTCATACTCACAAGTTCCAGGGATTACTATGCAGACATATTTTTTTGGAGGGGACACCATTCAACCCACTATAGCCAGTATGTTTAACAATCACCTTGGCAGGAAAGGGGAAGCCCTGATATACAGCATTTCCCTAGTTCTGTAGTGTAAATACTGCCACCATGGCCAATTTCAAGCTATCAAGGGAAGTCACTGCACATGGAATTGGAAAGAAATGCACAGGAGCACACTGTTACACAGTAGGCCCCCTTATCCACAGGGGATGTGTGCTCCAAGACTCCCATTGGGTGCCTGAAACCATTATAGTACAGAACTCTATATATACCATGTTTTTTCTATAATACATACCTATGATTAAGTTTAATTTACATATTAAATTAAATATGTAATTAATTAAGGCACAGTAAGATCAACAATAATAACTACTAATAAAATAGAACAGTTAAAACAATATACCATAATAAAAGTTACGTAAATGTGGTCTCTCTCTCTCTCAAAATACCATAATAGTTTTGGTCCTTGATTGACCACAGGTAACTGAAACCACTGAAAGCAAAACTGCGGGTGAGAGGGGACTACTGTCACATATTCCACTCTACAGATCCAGTAGACATAAGGAAACTCAGGAACATAGATGATAGTAAATTGTAGTCGAATGGTTAGGATGTGGTAAGGTTTGAGTATTATTACCTTTACTTTGAATATAATTTATTTAATTGTAAGTTTAGTGATTGTGTTTAACAACTGGCTCACAAATTTTCTGAACATGTACCAGTTGGTTCGAGTGAGCTGGTATGAGCTGTCTCCAACATACCACTGGATAGAAAACATGGATTGATGAAGCCTGAGTCATAGAGCCTAGGGCGTGAAGTCAGCTGTATCCAAACCGTGTGAACTGAAAATAGGGTGGGTGGTTCCTTAAGAGAAAATTGGGGTGCTAATACCTAAAGTGGGGGAGAAAGATTAGTAGGAAGACAAAAACAAAAAATACACCTCAGTGACATTATTTAAATGTAGTTTTAATGATTTTAGGCTAAGGAAAAACATTTCAGCAAAGTTTAAAAGAGTTATAGGTATGAGTATTGTGGGTATGCGTGCACCTGCCAATCAGACTCTCTCCACCTAAGGAAAAATCACTATTTTTCACATTCTCATTTAGTTAGCTCCTAAAATCTGCTTTTAAGCCTGAACACATTTATCCCAAGGTGATCAGGTTCAGAAAAAGAGAGATAAACCAGTGATCTTTTTTTCTAAATTAACATTTTACAAAATATTTTTAACAGCTTTATTGAGAGAGAATTCACACACCACGCATTCGCTCAGTTTAAGGGCAAAATTCAACGGTTCTTAATACATTCACTGAGTTGTGCAACTACCACCATAATTAATTTTAGAATATTTTCATTACCCTACAAAGAAACTTAGCATCACTTGGCTGCCATTTTTCAATTCCCTCACCTTCTCCCCAAGCCACAGCCAACCATTAGTTTATTTTCTGTCACTATAGATTTACCAATTCTAGAAATTTCATGTAAATGGAATTATACAATGTTCCTTTGTGACTGGCTTTTACTTAGCTTAGTGTTTTAAGGATCACCCATGTTGCAGCATGTATCAATATTTCATTTCTTTTTATTGTCAAATAGTATTCCATTAGATGGATATACCACATTATGTTTATCCATTCATTAGCTGACTGACATTTGATTGTATTCCCCTTCGGTTGCTATAAAAATGCTGTTGTGAACAATCATAGATAAATTTTTGTGTGGACATAAGTTTCCATTTCTTTTAAACCAATGGCTATTCAGTTAAAATTTTTAGCAAGGTTTCTTATTTTCCACATGATTAAGGGACTGTCATTTAGGACTTAACTCAGAAATGCCACGTATAGAATTTCAAACCTTTTAAATATCGGGTCACCACCCCTGACCCTTCTATTTCTTGGCAGGGAGGAGGAGGGTGCAATCTATCAGGAGAAAGTAGGAGCTGACTTGGGGCTTACAGATCACTGAGCAGGTGTGATTGAATTCCTTCTGCAGCATGTAAGTCCAGGCCTTGCTCACAACAGGCTCACAACATTAGCCCATCACAATGTTCCTTTAGGGACTCTCCATTTGCAAAGTGTAAGGGATAATAAAAATAAAAACCTTACTCTCTGATCTGGAAATCAGAGTCATGGGATTTGGGAAACTTTCAGGAAAGAGGAGGAAAAAATTAGCTTCCCTGATAGAGGCCGGAGGAGAGTTTCATTTTCTCTCTTGCATGAATTGGAGGAGTTCTTTCCTGTGTCCTGCCAACCTGCAATGAAAAAGAGGGCCCTATATTAATTTATATAGCAACTTTCTTCCAAGAAATTCAGAGGATCTCAAACAGTCTTTCACTCATTCCCCTAAGGGAGTCTGCATAACGTGCATAAGCAATTACTTCTTTTAAAATTTACACTCTCCAGTTAGCCAGTACTGGGCAGAAATAGAACTAGAAAAGCAGACCTCCTGACCAAACATTCCACTATAATATTTTCAGTGAGCTTCTATAAATCAATGCATATCCTTAAAAACAGGATCTGCCTGTAATATCCCCATGACTACCCACTGATGACTGACGTTCCTTTCACCAGAAGCAAAACTTTCCCCTCCAAATTAGAATCAACTGATATGGCATGCACTGTGAAGTTGAAGTATATCATTTATTTACAATTAGGGGCTCAGGACCATCCAGACCCTCAAACAGACAATCCAGGTTTTACTCTCCAGCTCAGCCCTACTAACTAACCCTAACTGAGAACCCCTTAAGAATCCTAGGACTGCCTTAGTGCAAAAAAAAAAGGACTCCTGCTTATAAACTCCAGGCAGCAAACTGGAGATGAATCAGTCCCCTCCAGTGTTATTTCCTGCTGTGTCTTTGTGTTGTTTTTACATGGGGCTGCACTGGCCTTCAGGGTCTTCTAGTAATGCTAGGTAGCATACTCAGCTCTGGTTTGCAAAAGACCAACTCAGGGCCTGGATGGATAAGCCTGGAGAGCTTCCAGCATCAGCCACAGGAAGGGGTGAACCCAGCCCTCAACCCCCAATGCTTAATTCCTTGTGTTGGGCCTTTCCTCAAGATGTTCTTATTGTGACCTTCTCAGTGGTTCTCTCAATGAGAAAAGGAAATCTTGGTCAGGGCCACACTAGCACATGTGAAATCTCAGGAAACCACATCGGGGGATATCTGTGCCTTTCCTCCTATCCCCAGAAAACCTCTGGGCTCCATAAGTTCCCTCCCAGTGCTTATCAGGGAGTGGAAAGTCTTTAGCCAATTAGTGACAGAAAGTTCATGCCAGTGTCCGATGCTGCCTCCAGCCTCAGACATATTTTGTTTGAGTCCCCATAATCTTAACATGCACATTATTTAAAATGTGTATTAGTTGTCAGCCAGGACTAGTTACATAGTTTGTGGGGACCCAGTGTAACATGCAAATGTGAACCCCTTGTTGTAAATTTCAGGATTTCAAGATGGCACCAGTAGAACATTAGACCAAACCTGGGGCACTTCTAAGTACGGGAGCCTGTGTGACTGCACAGGTTGCGCACCCATGAAGGCCTGCGAGCACTTCTAAGTACAGGAGCCTGTGTGACTGCACAGGTTGCGCACCCATGAAGGACTGCTGTCAACATCAAAAAGCAAAAGATTTTTCTTTTTTTTGTCTTTTTCCGTGTCCGGCAACGGATCGCAACCCTCAGTGTTGCCCCTGGGGCACTTCTAAGTACGGGAGCCTGTGTGACTGCACAGGTTGCGCACCCATGAAGGCCTGCTGTCAACATCAAAAAGCAAAAGATTCTTAAACTAGAAATTCTGGCAACACTGGGTCTGCATCTCCAAATGGCAGCACATAATTGGTTGGTGCCCAGTAGTAGCTCATATTAGTCTGCTAGGGCTGCCATAAGAAAATACCACAGACTGGGTGGCTTAAATAACAGAAATTTAGTTTCTCACAATTCTGGAGGATCAAGGCTGAGATCATGGTGTCAGCAGGGTTGGTGAGAACTGTCTCCTTGGCACATAGATGGCCACCTTCTCCCTACGTCTCCACATGGTCCTCCCTCTGTATGTGTTAAAAGCAAAAGATTTTTAAACTAGAAATTCTGGCAACACTGGGTCTGCATCTCCAAATGGCAGCACATAATTGGTTGGTGCCCAGTAGTAGCTCATATTAGTCTGCTGGGGCTGCCATAAGAAAATACCACAGACTGGGTGGCTTAAATAACAGAAATTTAGTTTCTCACAATTCTGGAGGATCAAGGCTGAGATCATGGTGTCAGCAGGGTTGGTGAGAACTGTCTCCTTGGCACATAGATGGCCACCTTCTCCCTACGTCTCCACATGGTCCTCCCTCTGTATGTGTTTGTATCCTAATCTCTTCTTTATAAGGACTCCGCCAGTTGTACTAGGGCCCACCTTGTTATAACTTAATTACCCCTTTAAAGGTTCTATCTCCAAGTACAATTACATTCTGAGGTACTCAGGGTTAGGGCTCCAACACAGAAATTCCTCAGGGACACAGTTTAGCCCATAACACAGTTGTTCCCCTTGGGGGGTGGGGGGCACAATGCTCCAGGTCACTGCACTCAGCCCCAACACATGCTCTGACACACACATTGTATCCCCCTCCCTGATGGGTCATCTCATTTGTGCTGCTGTTCGTCTTCCTCCTGATTCTCCTCTCATTTAGAGGAACCTGCTCCTCCCTTGCACATATGGAATAGTAACTCCGTCTACTACAGGACAATGGCTGCACACTCCCTCCACATGTGCAAAACTAACGTTGCTATTCAAGTGACCCTTCACAGGACAATAATCAGTTTCTTAGAAAAAACAAACAAACAAAACTGTACCCATTACATAGAGATAACAGTTCAAGTGAGCATTTGCTCACCTCAGAGACTAGATTTGTAGGTTTTAGAAGTGGAAAACTCTCAGTGACTACATAACTCGTCCCCAGGGTTGATTGTACTTAAAATCACCTGACTGTGCAAGGACAGCCCTAAATTTCAATGGAAAGCCAACCATGTAGCCCCTTAGAGAGAACATACTCTCAAATTGGTCTTTGTACCTATTCGTAGAAAAACGTTAGCCAAATTATAGCTGAAAACTCTGCTAATTCTGGGGAAGTTTTTGGTCTTGTGCCTGGAACTATTGAAGCATATATTCACACCTACCACATGTAACACTTAGTAGCAGAATTTCCAGCACAACACTTTAGTACTTTATTTTTAAAAGAAACAGAGCAGAGACTGAAGTCCTACTCACTCTGCAGCTTTTTTGCAGGAGGCTCCACAAAGGGTTGGGGAGGAGGTAGATTTCTGTACTGACAAAAGGTATATTTTGCATTTTTCAAAGGAAAGGAGACACTAATATCTTTGCTCAGAATCAGGGAACTCATGATGCCAAAACATATAACATTTATATCTGAATATAAATGGAAAGAAAAAGTAACAACAAATTTACAAGGCTCTGAGAAAAGACCGTGCAGTGCAATGATTGTCTAATAAATCCCAATATTAGAGCTTGGAAAAGACCTTAAAAATATCTTACTTTAACCTCTTTGGTTTTAAGACAAGGAAAGGAAGGTTCTAACATTTTAAATGACTCGCCCCAGACCAGCACTCTACCTGAAATGCAGGTCTTTTCTTTGCACCACTGTACTTCTCACCCCAGCAGACTACTTCTAAACAGGCATTGTCCAGTCGCTCTAAATTGCATGCAAAGAAGACAAAAACGCCACTCTCTCTACACCAGAGTCTCTATTTAGACTCCAGAGTGGAGAAAGCGAAGGCTATTTGAACTTCAACTCGCTTAGCAAACAGAAGAAAAGGCATCTGACCCGTCGACTTCTCCCGCTGGTCCCCCGGGCTCACGCCCGCCCGCGGCTTCTCCGCGGCAGCTCGCTGGCACCGGCTGCCGCTCTGACACCAGGGGGCGCAGCATCCTTTGTCCTGACGGGTACTGAAGGCAGACTCTGAAGCTGGCTGGGCCTTCAAGAAAATCTGACTTTCTCTCCTTTCACAGTTTCTCTTTCCCCTTCATCACTTTAAAGCCGTTTTTTTTCCTCCCCGACGCTCAGATTCTCGCACGTTGCAGAGTTGCGGCTGAAAGGGGATTTCAGAGACACCAGCCCCGCTCCAGCTACTGCTCCTCTGCACAGCCTAGGAGACCGCAGCCACGGCCTGTCATTTGTTCTCACTTGGAGCTCCTAAATTCAGGCTATTTCCAGCAATTCTTCCTGAACGAAGAACACTCAAGGACAGGAGAAGCTTCCTGGAAGAACTGTTGCATCCATCCTCTATGTCCCTCCCCTTTCCACTCACAAAAATAATACAAACAAATTAAATAACTGGTTCTGGGAAGCTCATGCCACCCAGCCCCCATCCCCCCCCTTTTGTCTGCCCCTGAACAGTCTAAGAACAGCCTGAGGTGGTGGATACCTACAAAGGAAGTAGGTATTACCCATACCTCTGCTACTCTTACTGACCCACTGTGCACTACAAGCAGGAGAACTGCCTCCTTGTGTCCTTACCAACTTGGCTCCATGTGTTCTCCAGCAGAAAGAAATTCATTCCACACTTGCCAAGGTCTCCCGATTCCAAAGCCTCAGTGCTCCCATCTTCTGCAGATAAGTGAGTTCGCTTTTCCACTCTAGCACACGCTGCTAACCCTGCCCCTATAGACACAAAAATACACGCAATGCAAACCCTCAAATGCCAAAAACATGCTCTTGCAAAGAACCCTGAAACTTCACTGTTCCGAAGTGAAGGCCCACAGGGTCCTACACAGGACTTTGAAAAGCAGCTGCTATGTTTACATAGAGAGATTTCAAATTTACACAGATCTTTCCCTGTCTCTCATTTGAGACTCCCAACAGCCCTGAGAGACAGGTAGGGAAATCTAAAGTTTAAGAGGATGCCCAAGGCCCAGCCCTAGTACAGGGTGGAGGCAGCATTGGGGTGCTGGGTGACAAGACATGGGGGAGGGCTGCTTGTCCAGTTGCATCAAGACCTGGAAAGACTGCAGCCACCGCAAATGATCACCAGATTGCATGCACTGAGGGAGCCCAAGCTCTCAGCTCCTGAAAACATGGAGCATTAGTGCGAGCCTGGAAGGGGCAGGAGGAGAGGAAAAGAAGTGGTGATGTCGCTGGCTGTGATCTGACTCTGCTTTTTATTTGTGGCTTCACTTGCTTGTTTTTTCTCCCCATTCACCTCAGGTAATGTAGAGTAACAGGAAGTGCTGAGCCTGCAGACAGGTAGCCCTGGCTTGGTATCTTAATTGTAAGCCTCTATCTCCTCACTCATAATATAATGATAGCATCTATCATTACAGAGAGAGCCACCAAAGGAATGAGAAATATAAATGTTATTCTGAGGGACACAAAGGAATGGGAAACTTTTACTTTCATTTTACGCTCTTTTGTATTATTTGAAGTATTTTGATTTATGCATGTATTCCTTATATAATTTTATTTTTTAGTTTTGTTGGGGCTAATGATACTCTTTAGAATTGCTGTGATGATGACTTATGTAACATGTCTGGCATGGCACGTAGTCTGGCACACAGTTGATGCTCACTAAACAGTCGTTTATTGTTAGCAATCATACTTCCCTCAAAACTGTGAACAAGTGGACTTCAAATCAAGAGACCCAGGACTGCTGCAGACCCTGCTCTCAGCTCCCTGCATGACTTGAGTAAGTCAAGTGCCTTCTCTGCACCTCAATTTCTTCAACTGTAAAATATGAGGCAAAAGCTAATTGATTGGGAAAACTGTGGGAAGGACATGACAACACGCTCACCACCAGAAATGCCCAAGGCACTTTCTAATATTCAGTCACAGTCCTTGCAAGAGGAGGCCTCTCGAGCTTGAGTTCATCCAACAGAAACCCTTCCTCGAAGAAGTTGCCATCTAGGTTAGGCAGAAAGGGCTAGAGACAGCTGTACAAGTTTTAAAGCAAGTAAATAAATTAAATTAGGAAACAATGTGTGTACACTGTGTAAGTTCATCAGCTTAGGGTGGGAAGTGGGAAAAGATTTGGGCTGTTCCTTGAGTGCAGTTGGCACCATGATCATTTCCTGATGAGACAGATGCCCTTGGTAAGTAAAAGGGATGTAATTCAAGGTACGGTCATCCCTGACCCAGCCAGAGTTAGCCCCAGCCTGCTTCCCTAGGATGAGAGTTCTGTATGGGCACAGGGCTGGCAATGGTGAGATCAGTCCCCTCCTCATCCTCACCTCTTAGCAGATTCAAGAATAGAGTGGTCATTTTGATAAATGAGTTTTGGACAAAGTCAAAAGGAACCCACTGCCAGTACGAATTAGGCTTAAGCACCTCTGAAGTTCCTTTCAACGTTAATTTTATCTTTTTATTTTAACAACAACAAAAAGTGGGAAGACTGGGCCATAGGAGATTCAGGTGCTCAGACACTAACCCCTCTCCCCTTAGCAGCTGGTTTGGGAGACTTGCTTTGGTGCACCCTAGCTCCTGAAAATCAAATAGAGATTTGTTTCTGGAACACGCAGCTGATTCATTTCCCATCCAGCTCTGAAGAGTACACTTTCCTTGGAGTCTCCTCTTTGCCAGCGCTCGGCCTTTTGGGGACTGGAGGCAGGTAGTCTGGTGGGTAGGAAGGTTGTGACTTTCTCTTCACCCGGCAGTCTCCTTCCTATTTAAAGCAGCACCGCCTGTCATAGCAGCTTCTTGCCAATATTTGCAGGCAGGAAGATTTTCTGACGTTGTAAGGGGGGCGTTCAGAGCAGATGGGAGGCCCTTTCCCAAGGCCATCGGGTAACGCAGAAATCGGTTACACCAGCACCCTGGGAGAAAACCCTAGTCCCCATTCTCTTCTTCAGCACCCCAAAGGTATCTGCGTTCACATTTTAAAACGGAGAGGGGAGAGTTTTTGCATATCACTGAATTATCTGGCTGAGCCTGTTACAATTCTATCTCCCCCTAAAGCCTGTGTTGTCACTCCCTGAAGAGGACATAGTGTTTTCGATTCTTGACGGCTCTGGGATAACGGTATCAGAGTTGGCCGACAACTGGAAGACCCCTCCTTTATTTTATGAGACCTTAGGATCTACAGAGGTGGGGAGGGGACGGTTCGCAGCGGGGCACGGACAGGTAGCAACTGCGCCTGATCTCCTGAGGCAAAATCAAGTAAATAAAAAATAGCTCCAACCATCACATCTTGACAAAACCTGTATTCCGTGAAATTCTGTATATTCAGAGAAATGCCCTCCCTTGTACTTTCCATGTCACTTTCAAAGGCAGTTTTGAATGTCTGGCCACTTGGTTCAATGCCTCTGTGCTTGCTTTACCGCGTGGTTCTTTTCTGCGCCCGTTTGTATCTCTAATAAGCAGCATTGTTTATTATCCTTGGGTCCGTGCCCCTGGGATTGAACTGAAATAAAACAGAAGCGCCGAGGCTGAACGCTGGAAAATACACCGGGTTTCCCAGGCCCGGGAAGGTCCCCGAGGCCGCCGAGCTACCCGCCCGGGGACAGCCCACCCGTGCGTGCGCGCCTGGACATGGGCAAGTTTGCACGAGTTTGTCCGGGGGGGGAGAGTGGCCCAGATGAGTGGGCGCGGGAAGAGGGCACACAGGGAAGGGAAATGCCACTAAGGACTGGGAATAGGGATGGAACTTCACGGCCGAACAGGCTAATATTGCCAGGATGATAAAAAGGGACTTCGGTGCGGAAGCGTTCTAAGCCGTCTTTTTGCTCAAAGTCTCAACACTCAGCCCTGTGCAAGACGTAAATTCTCAGTAATAAATTCTCGTTCTTCCGCGTAGCCTCGCAATCCTCGCTGTCAAAACGAGCATACTCAACAAGCTGAGGCTTAATCCCCTCCTTCCCCGTAGTTATCTAATATTTGTCCCCATTTCGTTTTCAGCCGAGTGCTTTGAGACTGTGGAGGATGTGAGCGCGTGCCCTGAGAAAGAAAGTGCCACTGTTCCCCAGCCACAGAGAAAGTCTTTCGGTCCCCTCGGACCCCAAACGGGCCCCCCATAGAGCCTTTCCGAAATTTAGCTGCTCCCAAAACGGAGTGTGGTTCGCTACCAAAAAAGCAGAAACCCGCATCGGAGACGCAGTCTCGAATGCCTTCGGCGTCCGGGGAAAATTTCCCGGTTTAGCGTAGCCTGCTCCTCCACCCAACCCAATTTAATGTCGGGCGGGCTCTGCTGGAGAGTTTGCCCGAAAGAACGTTGCTAAATGCGCGCCAGACCCGGGATGTGCGCTTCTCAAATGAGACTTCTAACCCCCGGGCCCAGCCCGAACTGCGCTTCTCACAGGTTCGTGTGGGAGACCAAGCCACCTGACCCTCAGCTTCCCAAAACTCTCCCTCCCAACAGGCCACAAAGACTGTTCAGACTGTCCCTGGTAGCTCCGCTCCTTCATTTAGTTGGGTTGTTCACAAATTCGGAAATCTGCTCGCAAGAGCTGAGTAATTTCTCTCAAGCAACTAGTGCCAGAGCTTCAGGCAGCCCCTGGGTTGCAGCGCGTCCAAGAGTCGACAGAGTTTTCCGAATTTCAAAAAGTAGTAAAGTGAATTTCGGTGCAGGGAAAAGTGCTGGGTGCTGGAGTGCAAGGAGGGGGCGGGAGCCCAAGATGCCGCCGGGAGCCTTTTTGTTTTTAAAGTTAGACACGCACTGAGGCGCAGGCACCAACTGCACCGCTTCGTGGTTTCCGAACTTAAGAGAATCGTGCCGAGTTCTGGCCCATCCCTGCGGCCGGGGACACGGCACAGCGTACGGGGGGCTGTTCCCACTTCCCGAAGAGCGAGCAGAGGCGCGGGCACAGCTCGCCGGGCACTGCCACGGGCAGCTGACTTTGTCCGCGCCTCGCGGCTCTTCTGCCCTCTCCCTTATCGTGCCACCCGCAGAGCCGTCCCAACGCCGCCAGGACTGCGCAGGGGAAAGGAGGGCTGAATGTCTAAACTGCGGAATCCCCCAACAGGTAGTTTCACTCCGGAGCTCGCCTGGCTTTCATATCAAAGGCTGGACAGTCTGGGCCGCGCTAACCTGGAGCCGAGACGCAGACACCTAAGGAGTTGTGGAACGAAAGTGGCGTTCTGGAAATCACTTTAAATAACCTTGTTTTCTTTCCACTGTCCAATTTCTTTCGAAATAGCGCAAGCTGCGCCGTTTGGAACGGCGCTCAGCGAGCCTAAACAAGCCGCTTCAGGCTGTAAACACACAACCGATTTGGGTCCCCCCTCCCCCCGCCATAGTAACTACAGAGCCCCGCTCCGCTTTAGACCGACAGGTATATATTTGGGAATTGAAAGATTCCACTTTTAAATGTTCCAGGCTCCAAAGCAAAAGAGGAAAAAGGGTGGGCTGCACTTGGACGATCTAATTGAATTATGCCTTCCCCTGGTGCACAGTGAGGAAAAGCCGAATGCCAGGCCGTGTGTGAAACGGGCCGCGGTGGCCTCGCGCTCCAGCCGGCGCACCACGTTTCCTTTCCTGGGCGCGGGGAGAAGTCGGGTTGGACCATAAGGATGTGAGGGATGGAGGCATCGCCGAAACCGAGTCCTGGCTGCTTGGCCTTTTCCCCTGCGGTGGCACTTGCCCGAATGTCCCCGCCTGGGGCCGTGAGCGCACGTGGTGCGCTGAGACCCAGCGCGCGACGCGAAACCGCGCGCATCGCCCCAAAGATCCCTGGCGCGCGCGGCCCTCGCTGGGCGGGGGAAGGTGGGGGACCGGGCCCCTCGGCGGGCGAATCTAATCCCGCCTTGGCAGACGAGCCTTTCCCGCTACCGCTCTGAGCCGTCGCCTGGTAGTGCTTTCGGCACCAACATAAACCGCCGAACTCCCGGCCCTGCCTTGTCTGTCTCCTAAAGAAACGCCTTTCAGACTCCCCACAGTCATCAGCCCCCCGAAGCCTCTGGGGCCGTGGGCGGAGACCCGGGAGACTTGGATCTTTCACCGTCTCGGGACCTGGCCACCCGCTCCCCTCTCCCAGTCGCGCCCAGCTCGCGCCCCCTACGCCCATCCCCGCACGCTTTCTTGCCCTGCGCCTCCGCCACTAACCGCGCTACCTAAACTTTCCAAAGAAAAGTTTGCTCGCGCTTGGCCACCTCAAGCTCTCTCCAGCTGGCGCTGGCAGGAAAAGAAAAAGAGCCCCCTCTCCTCTCCCTCCACCTCTCCTCTCCCTCCACCTCTCCTCTCCCTCCACCTCTCCTCCTCTCCCTCCCACTCTTGCCCTCCCCTGTGAGTTCAAACCTTGCGGTGGGAGCACGCGGCGGTGGAGCCCCGAAGGCACCGACTGTGCAGGGGACAGAGTTCGTTTCGCATCCCCCACTCTCAGCGCCTCTGTCGTTCCCGCCCCCTCCTCCCCCACCTCGCTTTCGGCGGGGACTGTGGGCTTGTAGTTTAGTTTTGTTCAAATTTATTTTTTCTTTTTAAAGATTTTTTTAAAAAAAGGTTCCACCCTGCCCGAGCCTCGAGCATCTGCCTGCCTTCCAGTTCCCCGGCGTGGGGCTCGGGAGTCGCACCCTTTGCGCCGGGCGGGTTGTCTCCCGAGTGGGGGTCAGGGGCTCCCGGGCCGCGATTTCTTTGGCCTGGTCTCGTGTTTCTGGGCGATCCTACATCCTGGGGTTAGGCTAACTCGTGCGGGAGCTCGGCCTCCAGGGAAGCCTCCCGTGCCTCTTGCCCCCACCCTGTCACCCGCAGCTGCGGGCTTGGGGGGATGTTTGGGAGACAGGAGCAGGTAGTACCGGAGAGAGAGCACACCCTGTTCTAACACCTTCCTGAGTTCTTTCCACACACGAGGGCTAGAGATTGAAAAATTCACTCCCTCAAATTTCCGCAGCTCCATGTGCCCAGCCAGGCGACCACCACGGAAAGCGCCCCAAGTTGGTTCATTTGTGGCCTATTATGTTTTTATTTTGTCTAGGATTAGCGAGGTTTGAGATTTTGTGGCCAAACGTACTACCCCGGGGCCTCAATTTTCAAACCAACAAGCCCACGGGAACGTTCCAGCGAAACTGGATCTCCTTGTGCGCGGCTGAGACGCGTGCGGGGAATAGAAACGAAATCCGCCGTGCACGGCGTGGCGCGGACTCCTGGGCCTGGGGACTCCGGCCGGCCTTTTCCGAACCTCATCGGGTTGGGCTTGAAACCGGACCGGACCCGGCCAGGGTCGTGGCCTGCACTTAACCTTCAATCTTCCACGTGGCCGGCGGGTTCCCATCGTCGGTCGCAGACGACGCCTGCTCCGAGCGACGTCCTTAGGGGCAAGCTGGTTCAGGCGGGCTGAGCCTCCGTCCTCGGAATCAGAATCAATTTTGCCTTTAGCTCAAGATGAGGGGGTCGTCGGTTACTTCGTGTGACCACGGACGTGAAAATGTCTTTGGGAATGTCTACCCAAGGCAAAGATGGCTACAACCCCCCTCCGCACCCCCCACGAGCACCGTGAGACCTTATTCCAGCCCCCACAGCACAGTCCCTTTCCACTGCTGGCGCAAACACGTGCCCCGCGCGCCTCACACAGGCCCCTCTCCGGCCGGGACGGTGCCCGCTGGGAACCAAGGTCGGCGAGGCCTCCCGCCTCCAGGCTGGTCCCCGCACGATCCGGCCCACGTTGCCACCACGACCGTGGCAGGGAAGCCCCCGTGGAGGGTGAACAGGGAAGGCAGCAGGTTCCCGCGACCCTCCAAATGGTACTCCCGCAGGAGCAAAATCGTGCAGCTAAATCTTCGCGACCCCTTTGTCGGCTTTGAAAAGGACGTTTGTTGGGGGAGGGGTGTGGGAGAGGAAAAATTAAGGTGAGGGGGCGGATCAATTTGTGTGTGTAAGCAGCCTCCCTTCTTAGCTGTCCGCCTCGCCATCCCCCCATCCCCGAGTCTGAGCGGTTGACAGAATTGTCTTTTTTCGGTTTCAAACTCTTAGGGAATGAGGTGGAGAAGCCCCAACCCCGCAGGCCGGCCGCCTCCCGCACCTTCCAACTGCGGCCGCCGCACTTCGGAGGGCAGAAGCGTCGCTCTGATTTGTGTTTGCCTCGAATGTAAAGGACCCCGTTCACAAAGGAGCCCCAATTCCCTTTCCCATCTCCACCCCTCTGTACCCTTCCTATAGCCTCAGGCCCTTTGATTGTATTTATTTATTTTTAATCTCTGGCACCCTAGATTGCACTGGGAAAATTTTAAAGACGGAGTGGAGGGTAGAAATAAATTAAGAAAAAGAACTGACTGTGCTTTTCGGAGGAGGGCTAGAGTAGAACTGAAAATCGAGAGTAGATGTACTCGGCGGTATTTTAAAACTTCATTTCCTTCAGAAGTTACCTTTTGTAGACCAAAACCTACTTAAATTACTGCGACGATAGGTAGCAGGGAGTCTCTGTGGAAACAGAAAAGTCAAAGGCTTGCGGGATGCCCTTTTCTCCTACCGCTCCTCAAATAAATAAAAAGCAGCTCTCCCTTCAGGTTAGTGACTGTGTGCCCTTCAACATGGTCACCTCAGTGGCCTGAGTGTGTTAATGGCCAGTTCCCCCAGGGAGGCCAAGCCCAGGAGAGTGACCCGACAGCCTCCCAGAAGCCCTTGTGCTGGGCTGTTTGTCCTGTAGGATGGAGTCTGGCAAGGTCCCCGGAGGAGGAAAGCAGCCTGCAAGGTGGGAGTACAGTGCCTAGACTGTGGGTGTGTGCGAGGAAGGACCCAACCACCCCTTGGCCTTCAAAGCTCCTCTTTTGCTGGTTATTTAAAACCTCAACTTTGTATTTCTAATCCTGATGCCTAGGTTTTTTTTTTTTTTAAAGTAGAAATGTATGTTTGCAGTTCTTAATGAATGTATGTTCTTCATTTGCTTTTGTTTGTAGGGTTTTCTTCTTTTTGTGTTTCCTTTCTTCCCCCTGGGAACCCTTGGCAACCCTGAAGGAAGAGATTTAGTAGGAGGGTGAAATAGACCAGTTTATTCTTGTTAATCAGGCACAAAAACATCATAAACACTGACTCTCCATTCTTAATAGTATCCTTGAAAACAAAAACAAAAACAAAAACAAACCAAAGTCATTTAGGTAGGAACTGGTTAGGACTGAGAAATCCATAATACTGGTGAACTAGCTAATCCTGTCCCTTTAAGAAAAATCCATAAAGCTCTTCCATCAGCCAGCGTCTGGGAAAGAAGCAAACTAACTGCTTGGAACAAAAGAGACAAAGAGGCCAAACAACAAAACAAACAAACAACTCCCCCTCCCTCCCCTCCCCCCAGACAACAATAGACTAGACACAGCAAGTGCAGTTACTGCCTGGCCCGGCTGCTCCTGTCGACCTGCCAAGTCTCCCGCATTTGGCTGGAGACTCTCTCTCACACCACTCCCACCCCCATCACCCCCCTCTCTCAGCCCTTTCTGTCTTTCTCTCTGTGTGCCTCTTTTGGGGTTTGGTTATGTGTGTGTATGTGTCTCTTCTGTTTTTGCTTTCACTTGATGTCGCTCTCTGTCTCAGGCACCTTCCTTTTCTCTCTCTCTCCCCCCCTTCTGCCCCACCCCCATTTAAAGGCCCTCAGCATATTAGCATACTGTGGTATTTATTTATTTATTTGCTAGGCCACTTCTGTGGTGTCTTCTGCCTCTTCAGAGCTTCTGTTTCTCTGAGTTGTCACGGTGGCCTATTTTGTGTTTTGTTTGCAGCACTCTTTGCCAGGAGGATCCCGAAGTCCATCTGCACTTCAATTTTTAACCATTCCTCATGTTCAGTTCTTTGCTCCTTTTCTATAAGGTTTCTGGCACATTTTCCCCCGGCTTGTCCCCAAGCAGCCCTTTCTCTGCTTCTTGGCACTGCTTGGGACTCTCATGCATGCCTGCCTTCTTTCTCTCACTCCCTCTCTCTTCCTCTCTCCCCAGCAGCCAGCCCCCTCCTCCTGCCCCCCCAATTCAGCCTTTTTCTTCCTGTTCTCTCTTCTTCACCAAACTTTAATAAAATACCTTAAACATCTTGGCCTAGGGATGGCCTTTCTTTATAAAGTAAATATAAACCTTTGGAAAGTGGGAAGTGGAGAAAGGAAAGAATCAATAAATGGAGACTGCAGTCAGCAGAGCCTGCAGCATGGAACCATCCTCCCTGCCAACACCCTCATCCCTTTCACAGTTTTTTTTTTTTTTTTTTTTTTTTTTTTTAAATAAGCCCTTTTGTGCTAGCATCTCCTCCTGAAGCATCTGTGTCTGCTCCAGGGAAAAGCTGGCCATGTCTCCCCTCCAGTGGGCAGCAGAGGTGAGGCTCCCTGTCCAATGGGAGGGAGGCTGCAGCCTCAGTCACAACATTCCCACCCCCAGCCCCTCTCCACTTCCTCTCAGAGAAAAATGAGAAAGTAGGGGGGTCCCTGGCAATGGGGGAGAGGTTTTTAATTCCTCTTCAAGAGAAGTATAGAATGGCTACTTGAAAAGAAGCTTCTCCAAGGATGGTTGTCTTCCAGTGAAGAGGGGAATTTCAACTGTCAGAAGGTTGTGGGAAAAACAGGACTAAACTATTTATCTGAAGTGGATCTGAGAATTCCCACAGTCACGTGGTATAGGGTTGGCAAAATGGTGGCATCTGCCCTGCATAAACCTTGCTCAGTAAGCAACAGAACCAGAACAAATTATTTCTCTTGGCTTCACCCCGTCTTCTTCTTCTCCTTTCTTTAATAGTATACAGACAAAAACAGATGAAAACAACATAAAAGGCAACCCTAAAGGGAGAAAAACCACTTAGCCTGAGAAGAGTATAAAAAGCAGAAGAAAGAAAATTACCCTCATTGGTTGCTTGGTGATAGGGACAGTATTAAGAAAATTTGATGTTATTATAAAACACATATATGTATATACACATGTGCATATGTATGTATATTTAGTTAGTGGTGACAACTTGTCAAGAGGAAAAGGGAGGAGTTTTGAAATTGGATACAGGTGTCATGAATATAACCAGCCACTTATTAGCTGGGCACCTATGGGCAGATCACTTATACCTACCTCACAGTGGAATCCTAAAGATTAAGTGGAATCGTATATATGAAAAAGCCAAGAGCAATGCTTGGCATGCAGCCTGTGTTTAATAAATGAGCCTTTCTCCCCATCTTCCTTACCTTTTTTTCTTCCCTCCTTCTCTCCTTCCTTCCTTTCTTCGTTCTCATTTCTCTGGTTTCCTCCCTTGCCTTTTCAAAGGTGCAAGCAAAAAGGAAATCATCTAAATTGCCCCAGTTTTCAGATCCCAAAGGAAAAGTTGGTGCTCTCTGAGTCCCAGTATTGGAACATCACAGACCATGGAGCAGTCCACTCATCTTATGCCTAAATACGACCTGGGATA